CCTCCCTCCTCCCTCTTCCCTCCTCCCTCCCTCGAGCCTCCTCCTCCCTCCTCCATTTCCCTCCTCCCTCCTCCTCCCCCAGGGCCCGTTCCGATCCGATCGATCCGCTTCGATATCGATGTCGGCCGGCCCGATCCGACTCGATTCGATGCTCCGTCGATCCGTCGCGGCCCGATGGTTCGCACGGTGATGTGTTGTTGCGCGTCTGGGCGCAGCCGAGCCGATTCGACCTCGGTCCCGTGCTGATGCAGCCCGATCCTACGCAGACTCCGATTTTATCCGACACCCTCTCTTCCATCCGTTGCCAGCTGCGCGGGACCTCTCGCCCAGAGGCGCTGGCCTTCTGGGCGGATGAACGCGTCCCGCTCGCCTAGCCCACCCCTCCCTTCTGCCTGGCCGGCAGCCATTTGGGCTCAGGGGCCCCCACGGGCGCCACGGCCGTGGGGCCAATCTCTGGAGTGCTCCACGGGGGGGTGGGGGCAGAGGAGGTTCTGGGCCGACTCTCTGAGGGTTGGAGAGGGGTGCTGAACGCAGACTGGGTCGGTCCAGGAGGAGGAGGAGGAGGAGGAGGAGGAGGAGGAGGAGGAGGAGGAGGAGGAGGGAGCGAGAGGAGGGATCGTGCAGGTGGAACCCCCGTTGCCCCCCCGTCCCCCCTGCGGAGCCCTCTGGGACTTCGGCCATGCGCGCGGGTCCGAGCCCCTGGTGGAGCCCGGCCCGCTCGGCGTGGCCGCTCGCCGCGGCGCTTTGCTGGGGGGCAGCCGCGCTCCGCGGCGGCGCGGCGTTCGCGGGCCCACCGCCAGTGCCCAGCCGGCTCGCCGCCCGCTGGCCCTCAGTATCGTTTAACCCGTCCCCATCCCCACTGGGCCATGGTAGCTCAGCCCCACCATCCCGCCACCCCAGTGTGGGATAGGCCCCTCGAAACCCGAAGGGAGCAGCCTACATCCCCATCCCGGGGGGGTCAATCGGCCAGTGGGGCCCAGGCCACGCCAGTGGAGACGGGGATCGGTCAAAACAATGCCCAGGCCCGCGGCCCTCGCCGCCCACGGCGCCCACGGCCTGACCGGGGGGGCGGACGTCAACGCTTTCAGAATCGAGGAAGGGCAAAGCAGCATCAGGCGCAAGCTTTCGGCGGTCCGCACGGATCTCCAGGATCGGCGCCTGGGCCCCTCGGCGGCGCCTCCGGCGGCAGAGCGGGGTGGGTCCGGCGCCGAGCCAGGAGATCCGCGCGGGCCTCTGACAGTGCACGTCGGTGTCGCCTGCTCTTCGTCTACAGAAGGCGGCACGTCGGTGCGAGGCAGCCTCTGAGCGGCGCGTCGCGGACGAGGCAGAGACCCCCAAGCCGGGAGTGCCAGCCTCTGCAGCTGAGGGACGAGAAGAAGGCTCCGGTCCAGAGAGCTTCTCTGCAGGCGCTCTTCGACGCTTTGTTGAAAGGAGTGCCGCTTGGCTTGCTCCAGTACGGGTGGTTCCTGCACAGCTGCGCTGAGGCGTTACCTAGACTCGTGAAGCTCGTGTTCCCCGACATTGCCGTCTACATGGCCGCGTTAGAGAGCATCATGATGAAGGTGGCTGCTGGTATCGGCGCCGTGCTGCTCGTCGAGCTCGCCGTCTCTGTCCGCAGAGTGAAGCGAGGTAATATCCCTCGCTCGAAGCTTGTCGGACACGCGGTTTCCGTCTTTTTGACGCTTGTCTTGGCTTGGGTCTGTAGCAATGCTGGGCGCACCATCGTTGTGTCGACTTGCAAAGTAGCCACCTGGTTCAATACCGCGGTGCCGAGCACGAATGCTGGGCACATGCTTGCGCTGAGTGCATCGGTGGCTGGCGCGGTAGCATGCTGTGGTGTCGGAGCCTACTACTCGTCTGGCCTCACCATTGCGGCGGTAGTCCACAAGGGGCGCACCGATGGATTTCGAGACCTCCTTTCTTGAGCACGGTATCCTCTACGGCCCCTGTCTGACCGCTGGCTGTGCGGCCTCGCTTCCCTAGCCTCTCCGCCTGCGCCCTGCTGCGAAGCTGTTCAATTCTTCTCAGACGGGGACAAGGTATCCATACCACTACCCATCCCCTGTTCTCCCCCGCTGGGGCCTCCTGGGAGGCCCTCGTCGCCACCGCTGGATTCGCCCCGAGACTCTGGCCAGAGCACACCCCAGGAGAGGTCTGGGGAGCAGTGGTATTGGCACCCTTTGGCTTCCCCGTCTTCGTCGCCGGTCCCGAGCTGGGGCGCCGCTTTCAATGTCTCGATACGCGCTCGTGCAAATGCGGATGAAGAGGCACCGCCTGCCCGGGGGGGGGTCGCCTCGCCTCGGGAGGCCTCCGAGGGAGCTCCCCGTGCAGAGGCCTGGTGGGCGGGGCGCAAGCACGCTGCGGGGTGCTTCTCATGGGCGGAGAAGGGAGGAGGAGGAGGAGGAGGAGGAGGAGGAGGAGGAGAGGTGAGGAGGACGAGGAGGAGAGGAGGTGGAGGAGGAGGAGGAGCAGGAGGAGGAGAGGAGGAGGGAGGAGGTGGAGGTGGAGGAGGAAGGGGAGGAGGAGGATGAGAGGGACGGAGTGGTGGGGACAGAGAGGAGGAGGAGGAGGGGAGGAGGAGGGAGGAGGAGGAGGAGGAGGAGATAGGAGGAGGAGGAGGAGAGGAGGAGGAGGAGGAGGAGGTGGAGGACGAGGTCGAGGACGAGGACGGAGGTGGAGGAGGAGGAGGGGAGGAGGAGGAGGAGGAGGACGAGGAGGAGGAGGAGGAGGAGGAGGAGTAAAAGGAGGAGGAGGAGGAGGAGGAGGAGCGCTACCCATCGGTCGTTGAAAGTAGGTAGTTCTGGACTCCCAGTTTCCACGCTACTTTAAGCGCCTTCCTGCTTCAATGATCGAGTGGCTTCACCTTCTCCGTCCTCCTGAGGGGGGCGGACGGAACCCAATCTCCTTTCAACGCCCTCCTGCTTCATGCTCCCCCAGGGCCGAGCTCGACGCCCCGGCGGTGGTGACCTGGGCGCGGCATTCGAAGCCGGGCGCCGCGCGCAAGTCATTACCGCTGGGGGGTCGGGGTCGGCCCCTGGGAGTGCGAAATCGGGACGATTTTTTTTATTTTTGGAGTGCTTTGGTATATTTTAGAACTATTTACCTAACAGCGCAGACTGACAGGTTTCTAGTGGTGTCAAAACAGAGCATCTTGACTCCCCAGGGGGGTCTGGGCGGGTGCCGGGGAGAATCCGCGGACGTCGTTTTAAGCAAACAGTTACACACTTCGTGGTCTTCGAGCTCCCAGAACTCCATTCCCGGGCCACATTTTGAATGCCCGGAGCCAACTGTAGGCCATTTCGTGTTCTTCGAGTCCCCACAACTGCATTCCCGGGCCACATTTTGAATGCCCGGAGCCAACTGTAGGCCACTTCGTGCTCTTCGAGTTCCCAGAACTCCGTTCCCGGGCGACATTTTGAATGCCTGGAGCCAACTGTAGGCCACTTCGTGCTCTTCGAGTTCCCAGAACTCCATTCCCGGGCCACATTTTGAATGCCCGGAGCCAACTGTAGGCCACTTCGTGGTCTTCGAGTTCCCAGAATTCCATTCCTGAGCATGATTTTGAATGCCCGGAGCCAACTGCAGGCCACTTCGTGTTCTTCGAGTTCCCAGAACTCCATTCCCGGGCCACATTTTGAATGCTGAGGCAGGCGGAAAGGTGAGGGCTGAGCAGTGGTGATGTCAGGCTTGATGCCAACTGCCGAGGCCAGGTCAGGCCTGCGGCAAGGTGAGGACTGAGGCAGCTGAGGTGGGGGGGGGACTGAGGCTGAGCTGAGGCTGAGGATGAAGGCAGGACTGATGAAGGCTGAGGCTGAAGCAAGCTGGGGTGATGCTGAGGCAGGCTGAGGCTGAGCTGAGGCAGGCTGAGCTGAGGCAGGCTGAGGCTGAGGCTGATGCAGGCTGAGGCTTGGGCAGCTGAGGCTGAGGCCGAGGCTGAGGCAGGTCTGGGCTGAGGCTGAAGCAGGCTGAGGCTGAGGCTGAGGCAGGCTGAGGCTGAGGCTGAGGCAGGCTGAGGCTGAGGCAGGCTGAGGCTGAGGCTGAGGCTGATGCAGGGTGAGGCTGAGGCAGGCTGAGGCTAAGGCCGAGGCTGAAGGCAGACTGAGGCTGAGGCTGAAGCAGCCTGAGGCTGAGGCTGAGGCAGGCTGAGGCTGAGGCTGAGGCTGAGGCTGAGGCTGAGGCTGAGGCTGAGGCTGAGGCTGAGGCTGAGGCAGGCTGAGGCTGAGGCTGTGACTGCGACTGCCGTTCTACAACTGGATTATCGTCTGAATCTTAAGGGGAATGCTTCCAGATATGCTCCTACACATCGCTGTTAGGTTGCTTTGCCGGGATAATCTTGATTTTTCCTCCCAGGCCCGCCTGTAGGAGGACATACTCGACTTTACGCTAGCGGCAGTTTCCTCAGCCCAGCGGTTGTGGTCGTCTCTTCTTCGCTCCTGAGCTTCGGTGCCGTCTGCTTTCCGATGATGTTCTGTCCCGAACTTGCTCAAGGAAAGATTCCGGAGCGGGGGGGCCAGAGGTCCCTGGCGGTGCCGAAAGGTCCCTGGAGGCCTCAGGGGGGCTCCGGAGGCACCCACGGACAACAAGAAGTGGCAGGCACGTCCGAAACCGGAGGAGGGTTGGTAGGAAGCTGCCTTCGCTTCTTCTGATCTAATCTTACTCTTTGCCAACAGCGCCTCCCCGTCGCACCACCATGCGTGTCCTTCGGGCGGTCCAGGCGTTTCGCCTGACTGAGACGCCCACTCGCCGTTTGCAATATGGAAGCTTGAAGTTGTCAGTAGTTACGCGGATGGAGACAGGTGACGAGGACGACGGCGACGAGCGACGAACGACGGCGGGCTGCCACGAAGACGACGGCGATGAGCGATGAACAACGGCGGCGGGACGGCGGCGGCGGCAGCAGCGACGGCGGCAGCGACTGCGGCGGCGTCGTCGGCGTGGACCCTGAGGCCGCGGGCGTGTTCTGCGAGTCGCGCTACGCGCTGCTCGTGGTGGACAGCGCGACGGGCCTGTTCCGCACGGACTACACTGGCAGGCGGGCGCGGCTGGCGCGCGCGCGGCCGCGTCCATCCATCAGCTCGGGGGCGTCCCAGAGGTGGGGTGAGGGGTGAGGACCTAGGGCCTAAGGGGCGTATGGACACCTTGGCTGGAGCCATGATATCTCCCAGATGTCAGGGCCCCCTCTTCTCACTCTGTCAGCACGTCCCCTGGCTCCCACTCGTCCGCGCACATGCCTGGGGTCATGATGCGCCTCACCACTGTCTTGTCCCCCCTTGTCGGTTCATCCGATCACCTGCGGGCATGCGGGCTTGCGTCCGCGAACGTCCTGGCGTGGATTTTGACAGTCTGGTTATCGTAACATGTTGGCAGCGGGATCTCGTTTCAACATTCAGATCAGGTCCTGCCATCTTTCCGACAGCCCCGTCGGGTCTCCCACATTCTGGTCTTACGCCCCCCAGTCATCTTGTTCCTCTTCACCCTCCTCGCCAAGTGCAGTGATTCGCGGCGGTGCGGTACGCTGCGACGCACGCCTGCCTTAGCGGCTCGCGGGCCTAAATGCTCGCGGTTGGGCCTCGTGCGTGCTTTGATGCTTCACCCCACCATGCGTTCGCGAAGTATGATCAGTGCCGGTCGTCTGCTTTGCAGACCTTGCGAGATAGCCGCAGGCGCGCCAGTGCTCGGAGAGGGGGTTACTCTCTCTCCCTCCGTCCTCCCTGCCCCTTCGCGCCCCTCCTGCCTCCTCGGCCACAAGGATTCTTCCTCCTCCTTTGCCCTACCCAACTGTTGCCTGCCTCGCGCGCATGTCTCAACACACGCCGCAGGATCTCGACGCTGCGGCCTCGCTCACCTGGCCTCACGGGGCCCGTGCACCTGTCCGCACGGGTGGTTCGCTCGTTCTTGCCCGCCTGCCCCCCAAGACCTGCCACGCCTCGCCGCCCTCCTCGTGCCATTCCCTCCCTCTCCCCTCCAGGGAGCGCGCATTGACGCCGAGCCACTTTCCACCACTCAGGGCCAGGGGCGAAATAGATAACTAAGCACGCGCGCATGAGCTCACGCGCTTTTCGAGGGAGCGCTCGCATCACGAGAGCGGCCTCGCGATCTGGGCGGCAATGTTCACCTACGTGGCCAGGCGCGCACAGTCGAAGCATTAACACTAGAGCGTGCGTCAGGAGCACGAGCCCCGTCACAGAAGCCCAAGGGGTCCATGAATGTACACTTATGTCACATGTGTAAGAAATCCAAATCCAAGATGAAGAGCCCAACATATGGGTATACCCAGCCAAAGTTGCCAAAGCTGGGGCGGCTCATAACTCTCGTGCCAGCCGTACTGCTTGGCTTTCTTATTCAAGGGGGAGAATCCACCCCAGCACACTACCACTGGCGTTTACCGAACAGTCTTGGGTGTCTATGTCACAGTCCTGAGCGATTCCTTCCCTAGGTGCGTTTGCTAAAGGGCTTCTCTTGCGAGCGTGCTTATTAGAAGGACGATTCGCTTCTTCCCTCCTACCAACCACGCCTACCCTGTTCCCCCTTCCCTGCGGAGGCGCGCCGAAGAGACCCCCCTCCAATCGCCCCGCGGCCGCGGGGGCCGCCCAGGGGCGAGCTGGCCGACAGGCAGCAGGCCCTGAACAAGTTCCTGCGGACCGCGCCCCGCCGCGGGGATGGCACCGCCGGGGCCTTCAATGTGTGTGCGTGTGCGTGTGCGTGTGCGTGTGTGCGTGTGTGTGCGTGTGTGTGTGTGTGTGTGTGTGTGTGTGTGCGTCTGTGTGTGTGTGCGTGTGTGTGGGTGCGTGCGTGCGTGTGTGTGTGTGTGTGTGTGTGTCTGTGTGTGTGCGTGCGTGCGTGCGTGCGTGCGTGTGTGCGTGTGTGCGTGTGTGCGTGTGTGGTGTGCGTGTGTGCGTGTGTGTGCGTGTGTGTG